GTATAAATATTAAATAGGATACCTGTCACTGCATGTTTTCCTTTGGTAGTTAGGGGTGTTCGCGGTGTGGATTAGATCGGTTTTGGAAGCAAAAAATCATCTGATCCATTCCTTTCAGTTTGATCATATAATCATCCATTCGGTTTAGATTTTTTTTCAAATCCGATTCAATCCAATTTTTTTAGTTTGGTTTGGATCGGTTTTAAATTTTCTGAAAATTCTAAAATTTGTTTCATGATTATTGTGCAAATAACATCTTTTGTATATATTGACTTTGTAAATTCTTTTTTTAAATACAAAAGCATTAATAAACGATAATATAGTTTTTTTTGTCGGGTAATGAGATATGAAGCTCTGCACAGATAGAATTTTGTTAAAAAGATGTGACTAGGCTTTTTCTTGGATTTAGTTGATGAGTTAATGGGTCTTGAGTTTAGAAATTTTTGGACTATGATTGGGGAAAGACCCAAATAGGTAGAGGGGAATTAATATATTGGATCGGTTTTCATCAATAAATCCCAAAACCGATCCAATCCAATTAAAATTTGCGGTTCGGTTTTTGGTTTTCAATTTATTCGGTTATCGATTTTTGATTTATTCGGTTATGATTTTTCGGTTTGGTCACTGCGGTTTGAATCGGTTTAGATCGGTTGATAAACACCCTTATTGGTAGTCATATTCTGTGTGTTTTTCTTCCAATAATCATCACTGCATATTCTGTTTTTGTCCGTTTATCTTCCTAATCTTCTGGAGATATTCTTCTGCGTTATTAAATATACAGTGATAATTTGTGGGATTTTCATAATACCGTATTATTAGTTAGGAATTTTATTCACATTTTAAAATCTCGGGAATGCAAGAATTTCTGGAAAATTTTCACATTTTCTTGTACCAAATGTGGATAAATAAAATTCTTAATATAAGTTTTCCGGAAATCTCAAATCAAACACCCCTAAATATTTTTGGAGTTACTATCTGATTGGCGAATTATATAATGCTTATTATTGTGTTTTATATTAACAACATTATAACTTTATTTTATTTTTATTTTTTTGGCAAGGCATATAACAATTTAAAACTTAAAAGGTTAAGTGAATAAAGAAGTTAGTCTTAAAAATTGGTATAGTCCATATTTAATCAATGCCAAAGAATATCGTGAAGAAGTAACTGTTTAACCAAGTAATCTGTGAATATATTTAGCCTTTTTTTTTTATAATTTGTCAAAGGTTATTGTATATGGTTTTTTGAAAATATAAATTCTACCTCCATATCAATTGATTCTAACTTAGACCGCAAGGGAGATTTTTCTTTAATTTATTATATTAATTTTGATTTTGCTTGAAGGCAATATAAAGTCAAATTCCTCCTGCTTACCAAAAAAAAAAAAAAAAAAAAATTCCCCTGTGCATGCTATGTTCGATGTATATAGAAAATCATCAAAATAAAAATTGCCCGATGAAGTCCAAGAAAATCTTTACAGGGCCGTTTGGTACGTCTCATTTTATAGGATTATGGAGAAACTGAATTTTTTAAATTTTTAATTTTTAAATATTATCATAAACTAAATATAAAAATCATATTTTTAAAAATTAAAATTTTCGGACAAATTTTTTTTTCCAGTACCAAACACTCCCTTACTGCAATATAAAGGGGAAAGAAAGTAAACTTACTCTTTTTTATGAAATTTGAAATAAAAATCTTGTGAACGAAACACTCAAAAGTCAAAACTGACATCATACCTGCCATACACCAGAAGCTCCATAACATAATAAATAACACTGTTGAGTTTTCATGGGTGACTCCATAGAAGTTCTAACTTTTTTTACTCCTTTAATCCCGTTTATTTATTTAAAAAAATTACATGTTTTTTATTGCGAATTTTTAAAATTACATTTTTCTTTACGGCGTTAACTACTCAATCTATTAACTTGATGTGTTTTTGTTGTTGAACATCTATCTTGCACCGACATCGATATCAACACGGAACATGAGATATAAGATATGACACTCTGACACGTTAATTCTAAAAAATATTAAATTTTGGCATGTTATGACAAGTTTTGATACTAAATAATATTTTTAATTTAGGTAGTGTATATTATATTTAATATTCAATAATTTAATAAAAAAAACTACACTTATGATACCCATCAATTTTGCAAAGTAACATAAGTTATCCCAAATATTTATATTAAACTCAATAAAATGGTAATTGCAATCCAACTAATCTTTATCTAATAGTTGGAATTCAAAATGCAACGCAATGTAACTTTTGAACTCTTTTTGAGTCTTTGCAACGAGTAATGGAGTGTCGGGAAGTGTCGGAGTGTCGGACACGATACATCAGGGTTTTTGAAGTGTTGGTGCTTCATAGCTGAACACCGATATGCTTGACAAATCTTGAATTAATTATTCAATTATATTAATTAATTAATTATTATTTCTACTTATCCAACAAAAGATTAAGGTTATCCAAATAATATCCTAATTAATAGAGGATCGAGGAATGAGTCTCCTATCCCAATAGTAACTCATATTCACCACTATGCACAGACACTCACATCTTGTCTATATGTCTATTGTGAGTGCAAAGTGATTGGTATATTGACTTTAAACCAATACGATATCTCCCTCTTAGATATTTCTGAGTAGGGGTGTTCATCAACCGATTCAAACCGATTCAAACCGCGAAAATCGAACCGAAAAATCGATAACCGAATAAACCGAAAATCGAAAAATCAAAAACCGAAAAAAAACCGCAAATTTTAATTGGATTGGATCGGTTTCGGATGGATTGATGAAAAACGATCCAATCCAAACCGATCCAATATATTAATTCTCCTCTACTTACTTGGTCCTTTCCCCAACTATAGCTCAAAAATTTCTAAATCCAAGACTCATTAACTCATCAATTAAACCAAGAAAAAACTTAGTCACGTCTCATCAACTATAGTATTGTTTACTGATATTTTTGTATTTCAAAAAAAATAAATTTATACAGCCAATATATACAAAAGATGTTATTTTCGCAATAAACATGAAACTAATTTTAGGATATTCAAAAAACCGAGAACCGATCCAATCCAAACCGAAAAAAATTGGATTAGATCGGATCAGATTTGAAAAAAAATCTAAACCGAATGGATGATTATATGATCAAACCGAAAGGATTGATCGGATGAGTTTTGCTTCCAAAACCGATCCAATCCAGACCATGAACACCCATATTTCCGAGCACATACCTATAGGGTAAATATTCACTGTCTATCTGGACAAAACAAATTCCAAATAATATAAATTACAATAATTGGATGAAAAACAATTAACTGTTGAAATAGGAAATAAATTTTTTTAATCTTACATATATGTCTCCTACAATAAACAATAATAATAGTAATATAAAGTGAGATAATTAAAAGACGTTAGTTTGCCCGCAAATAATGATATATTTATTAAGTCAAGATTAATGTGGCTTATTCTAGACCCTGATTCATGATGTTCAAGCTTATTTTGTTCGTGATCTGAGTCATGAACTTGGGTTAAGATTCCAATTCTAATATCTAATTTTAATTTTAGATCATGATTCTAATCCTAATATTGATCTCGGACTTGAATATTGATCAAGTTGCTTCTTCTACCAGTTTAGAATTTTAGATTGTTAGAATTTAGAAATTTAAGGCCCTTATTTTCCAAAATACCCTTGATTTTCTCCCCAAACTACGAGACGTGTTTAGACACGCCTTTCCCTCGTGTTGCCTTTGCCTTTTCAGCGGACGATATTGCCCTCCTAATGCTGTAGGTTTTATCCAGCACTTCCTTATTCCAAACCGACCCCCCTTATTTTCTCATATAAAAAACTCCCAAATAATTGTCGTTTTTCATATTCTAAGCCCTAAAAAACTCCCAACTTGTTCTTCTTTGGTCAGATTTGTGAGCCTGAGCTGGTCAATATTCATCTCACGAGTCACAAGCTTGGCATATTCTAAGGCCTAGTATACAATTCACAAGGGCAAAAATGTCCATATTGATGTTAATCATAATTTGCCTTGTTTTTTTAGTTTAACATTTTTTTTTCCTTAATAATTATGGAGCATGAGCTAGAAAATTATGAGCAATAACATAATATTACTGACTTTATGTAATAATTAATAATGAAGTTACAATATGTTTCTTTTAATCAAAATTGATTGTATATGTGGAAACTTGAAATCAACTCATTTGCTTCATAGTTTGGCAAGCACCATGCATGATTTTTAAAAAAGCTTTGGCGGAAAGAATAATCTTAATCATTAAGCTAGATAAGCAGCTTTGCCACCGTGTAGTACACGTGTAGAGGTAACAAGCTTTCACACTCCTAGAGTTTCTTCTTTTCGTACTGTTTTAGGTTCAATTATTTTGTCATGTATAATCGCGTGAGTGATGTGATTTTAACTAACACCTCATAATTTTTTTTTGGATAAAGTAACACCTCATATATAAATACAAGCGAAACTGCTTAAAATATTAAAATAAAAAACTAATATTGGGTTCATCATGATACTAGATGATTATTTTGTTCAATTCAAATTTGTAAATGAAACCTTCCTTTTGTATATATGTCAATATGATATATTCAACACTATAAATTATGAATGATCGATATCATCATATTCGTCGTCACTCCAACATAATTTAGCAGATTCACTAAATAGTATCTGGCCCCAAAAAATTAAATAACTATTCAAAAGAACACTGATAGCAACAACCTAACGATAAGCACATATTCTCCCCAAAGCTAAAATTTATATATTCATAAATTTTCAACCACCAGTTCTTGAAATGCAACTTACACACAGTGGCATGACTCATGGTATTTCCCACCCAGCCAAGGGCAATTTTGCACACATAAAGAAAAATAAAATAAAATAAAAAAATAAAATCCACTAGGTAGCAGCCTAAGACCAATTAATATCCCTCTCTTTTTTCCTCATTGATTTCCTATGATTGTGGTTGTGTATAAATATAGACTGAAGAGAGAAATCAAAGGGGTGGAGGAGAGAGAGAAAAAAAAAAAAACACATCACACTGAAACAGAAACAAATTCAAATTAGTATGGATCATAACTTACGTTGTTTTGGGACTACACCCAAAACTCATTTTCTGTTATCACTTTCTCTGCTTCTCTTCATCATCTTCTTCTTCAGCTTTGCCAACGCAGCCTTCGACCTTGCAACCATACCCTTCGACGATGGCTATTCTCCGCTCTTCGGAGATAGCAACGTTGTTCGCTCCTCCGATGGCAACGGCGTTCGACTCCTCCTCGATCGTTTCACAGGTAAATTTTTACAGATATATATGTATAATTATCACAAACTTTCGATTAACAAAAAATTAAAAAAAATTGGTTTATGCTTAGTTTCTGGAAGATTTTAAATTTTTTTAATTGGGTTTTTTTTTTTAATATTTTTCTCTGATGAATAGGTTCTGGTTTCATTTCCTCAAGTATGCACAAATATGGATTCTTCAGCGCGAATATCAAGTTGCCATCGAATTATACTGCTGGTATTTGCGTGGCCTTTTATGTGAGTAACAAAATAATATTTGTTTCTTCAAGCATATTAAGATAGAAATTAATCTTTTCTTGAATTCATTTTGTTTAGTTCCTTTCACAATTGATTAGTTTCTGACAAAAAAAAATTCTGAATTTATATTTTATGTTGCTTTTCCTTCATGGGATTCTTTCCTTCCTAGTTCCTTTTTCTTTTTCTTTTTTCATTTTACGTGATCAGTAAAACACGCTAAATATTAGTCAAACTTTCCTTTAATTTGCTGAAGAAAATTCCGAACTTGTAGCCAAGTCAATTATAAATTCAGGGTCGGTGAACTAATCCATTTCATTTACGTGTTAATTTTTATTTTTATTTAAAAAAAAAACGTATTCAAGCATGAAACGGTGATGTGTTCTACGCACGATGAGTCAAACAGTCCCATAAGAAAATATCAGTGTTTTTATTACAAGTGATGGTGATCGTTGATTTTTCTTTTCTTTTCTTGTTACAGACATCAAACGGTGATGTGTTCGAGAAGTCACACGATGAGTTGGACTTTGAATTCTTAGGTAACATCGCCGGAAAACCATGGCGGTTTCAGACAAACTTGTACGGCAACGGAAGCACCCACCGTGGCCGTGAGGAGCGGTACCGTCTCTGGTTCGACCCAACCAAACAATACCACAGATACAGCATCCTTTGGACTGCCAAGAACGTTATGTAAGAGTTTCTATATTCATGTTACTTGATATTAATTAATCGTTTACGTTTTTTCCTTATGTGTTTATGAATTGGTTGTTTTCTTCTGGGAAAAATTTACTTGGTATGTTTATTTCTGGCTTTGGATTTAACTTGAACGTGGCGTGTTTGTGAGATAGAAATGGTTTTGTTTGACTTAACGTGAGGAAGTAAAGTGTTTGGAATTGCGTGTGGGATGCGTCGTCTCTACAACTTGTGTGTATGAGCTAGCAATGATCGAAAGCATATAGTTTTCTTACTAAAAGGATGGTTTAGATGTTAGCGACGGTTTGGAATTGAATTATTTTTTCCCAGTTTTAGACGCATAATAATTAGGCCCACAGCCATGGCCAAGGCCAACTCGAATTTTGTTTGATATACTTTTTGCAATTAAATAGCTTTCGCTCTTATTTTCTTTTCTGTATGGTGATCATAACAAATTAAACAAATATTCGAATTGTTTTTATCACATAAATTTATGCTTATCCTTATATGTTATCTGTATATATAATACATGTGACACGAGTCTTTTGTTTGAAGTTATCAATATCTATCATGGTCCTTTTCATTATATGTTGGGGTTGCCAAACCTTTGAATTGATTCTTTCGGATTATTTGAAAGCCTAATATCTGGCTAGATTGTGGGGTGAGGAAAAATGCATTATATTGCTAATTAATTTCTTGCTACATAATTCTAATTTATCAATCTTGGGCTTCTAGAATTTGGCTGAAAATTCTCCCCCAGATAAAATTCTTCGACCGAAAGTCTAATTAAAAATTGTAAACCACACGCAAGGCATGTTAATTAGAAGGATAATGCTATCGGTCCAAGTCCAACTGGACCTACAGAAATGGATAAGTAAAACTCACAGAACATGGAATTAGTCCATGCACAATAAAGAAGCATATGAACTGTTTTTTTTTAATCTGTGGAATGCATGGCAGCAGTTTGTTAAAATACCAAACTAAAGCAAGCTCATAGATTCCTATACCGTTTGCCAAACACTTTACCTGTAATTCCACCTAATGGAACTCTAAACTAGCTGGCAAAAACGTCTTTTTATTTCATGGGAATATATGCTTATGTGCTAACTAACTACCAACCTTCATTTTTTTTATTTATATTAATGTTTAATAATATTCATCACCATATTTGAATTATTGCAGATTTTACATTGATGAAGTTCCAATTAGAGAGGTGTTACGAAGTGAGGAAATGGGAGCTGAGTATCCATCCAAACCAATGTCATTGTACGCCACAATATGGGATGCATCAAATTGGGCCACATCAGGTGGAAAATACAAAGTGAACTATAAGTATGCACCTTTTGTAACAGAGTACAAGGACCTAGTCCTTAAGGGTTGCTCCGTCGATCCAATACAAGAAATCTCCGGCATGGAGGTTTGCTCCGACCAACACGCCGAGCTTGAAGCTCAAGACTATGCTGCCGTGACCCCCTTGCGCCGCCTCGCCATGCGTCGGTTCCGCCAGCGTTACATGTACTATTCCTATTGCTATGATACGTTAAGGTACCCTGTGCCACCACCCGAGTGTGTTATAATACCCTCGGAGAAACAAAGGTTTAAAGAGACCGGAAGGTTGAAATTTGGCGGCAGCCACAGACGGCACTCTAGGCGGCGGGGCCGTACTACAACTCCGGTGGATGATACTGATCAGGGTGATATGTGATGATTGATGAGATATGTAAATAATAGTGTCAATTTTATGGCTTTATTTGAGGCTTTTTGACTTTAATTATTTGACAGGCATAAATGAATAATGTGATTATACCAGGTCGTCTTCTTTTTCTTCTTCTTTTTTAATGTGTTTTTGGTGTTATGCTTCTGTTTCTTAGTGTGCTATTTCAGTAGGTGGAATATATATCTGAATGAGTGCACTAAAGAATATATCCTCATATTGGTGTTGATAGTTAATAATTCGAAGGATATTGTAACAATTAATTAGTGTTATTATCAATGTTACTACCAATTAATTTCACTGTTAGATCGATTACGTTGATCTAATGGTTATATTTATTTTCATCTTTGTATAGTTATGATTCCTCATATTTAATATTTTATATTTATTTTTATCTTTGTATGGTTATGATTTCTTATATTTAATATTTTCACAATAAATATGAGGAATCATAATCATACAAATATAATCGTTGGATCACCATAATTGATTTAACGGTGAAATTGACTGGTAGTAATATTAGTAATAACACTAATTGATTGTTACAATATCCTACTCTTATAAATAATTAAAAAGCACTCATCCAATATTGTTTCTTTATGCAGTATCATCTTCAATAATTACGAGATCACGAGTTTAATTGATACCGCCTCTATTTTCTAGTAGAATTAAATAAAATATAATTGGGCCGGTATAATATTCACGCTTCAAGTTCAAATGACACTATTATGTGAGGAAATATGTTAAAAAATAATATAAATAATTGAAAAGACTTTTACCCAATGTCTTAAGCTTGGTTGAATTGATTCTGTTTTAAGAAATGCACGGTGGTCATTGATAATCTATGTTTGGGCTTTATCCCCTGCTAAAACAAAAATATTATAGCTCAAAGAACTTTTATTTGTTAAGCAACATTCAGTGGTTCATAATTTTATTTTATTTTTATGTAACAATGAGTCGTTTACAAATTGTTAATAAAATATAGTTTAGTAGTTGAATTTATTTTTTTTATTTTTTTTATAACAAGAATTTATTTATTTATTTTATTCAAACCATGAAGTATACAGATTTAGTTTAGTTGAACGACTAATTTTCATTCAGTCATGAGAACTGGAGGGTCATACGATTTTTCTACAAAACTATTTAATGATATTTTAAACTCGCCTTCTATTCACATAGGTGGTTGGTAGTTGGGACTGCTTAACATCTCATTCACATAATGGGTTTATTTAATTTATTTATTTTTGAATTCAGCTGTCAGCGTGCATGCGTAGTTTTTCTCCGGTAATACATCATTGAAAGGGACTGTACATTATACTGCAAGTTCTGGCATATTGAAATCAAATTTTCTTTTAATTGAGGAAATTTTTTTAGAATAGTAGGAAAATGTAATAGATAGAGAAATGATTGGAAAGATAGATAAAGTGAGATAGGTAGAAAAATGTAAAAAAAAGTTGTTTGATGGAGAAAAACTTTACTGGAAAAATCAGGTAACTTTATGAAATCAACATTGCATTAAAAGCTAGATAATCGGTTTTCCGAAAGATCTCACCTTCAAATTGGGTTTCTAAACAGTGCGGATATCTATGTTTCTCATAAATCCATACAAATTGGATAGATGAGTTTTTGGTGAAAATACGTTGAAACAAACATGGTGTTTCTAAAAGCCATACTTGAGAAACATAGATATCCGCTGAAAAGCTCCTGACCAAACACCACCTTAGGAGAACTATGTTTTGGTTACACACGCACTTCAATTTTAATACAACCATGCATTTCATTTCATCAACTAATAATAATATCATGCTTGAATTATAGGTTTTTTTTTTTTTTTACAAACCATGATTTAGCCTAATGAAAAAATAATTTTTTATTCAAATGATGTTTTAAGATTCAAAATTATATTAACATAATTCAATATTTGATTGCAATTTGTGAATGAAACTTAATTCAAACACTCCTATACTATTATCCCAACATGTTTTAAATTCCGTAAATAGCTTGGGTAAGCATAATTTATTTTATTCATCCTCAAACTTGATCTCCTAAAATAAATAAATAGATACATAAGGCTATATATAAACATAAATATAAAAACAAGTATTGTTTGATTACCTAGTCAATTTTTTCATAATTTCTTTCTCATCCTATTTTCTCTTTCACCTATTCAATTATATCAATGAAAGAATAATGATAGAGATTAAAGTTATATTCAGCAATATTGCCCTCCGTTTTCTAAGTGCCGTAATTGCCTCTTACGTTTTTAAGCATAAATATAACAAAAGCGGTCCAATTGGTAGAAAAGACTAAAAGCTTGCAATTTTGAAAGTTAGTGCTATAAAAGTTTTTGGTTTTGAAATGACATCGAACCTACCTATCACTTACGTGTACTAATTAATACTGATATTAACTAACAAGTAATTAATTGGCTCATACTGGAGGAACTAGTTAAGTGATTAAAATAACGATGTTTCAGGTTGTTATTAATTATGCCCACCGACTCCGCTAAATGTTAATTGGATGAGATGATATATATTGTTATATGAAAAATAGTTAGAGCAGACAAAAAAGAATATATGATAGTAAATTATCGGTAAAACCGTGCAGATTTAAAAATACATACAGTGATAATGGATACATAAATTATTATTTATACAATATTGCATTATAGGCCTTATGTATCTAGTTTTTTTTTGGTACAATTTATGTATCTAGTTTGAATCGGCCAAATTTGAACCATATAGATGTATGTACATTTCAAACGAAAGATAAATGTATGCATTGATCACAATTAGTTTTGTTAAAAATCATTTCCTGCAATCTAAAACGTTTTAGAATTCGAGGGGAAAAATATAGGATATTTTAATCATTTCAATTTTTTATTATAATATTAATTTTCCAAAATAACCTGCACTTGTTTTTTCATATCCAAAAGTCCAAAAGACATCAACAAGAAAAACATTAAACTCTTAAACAAATGCATTATAAATAATAGTGAAAGGATAAGAGTCAAGTATTGAGCATTAAAGTTTAATAAATACCGCTAAACTAGTTAGGAAGACATCGGCGACACAAAGACATTGTTGGGAGTATATTTCACCATGACCTTTTCTCTGTGCTAGTATACATCATCTGATTATGATAAGCAGAAAATTAAACATGTTAATAACTATTTTTGTTATGTAAATAACCATGTCCACTTGTTAATTTAAACCATTATTGTTGCTTGCAAGGTTGCTGACACGGGTATTAAGATTTTTTTCTAATTAAAACACAAGGTCTTCTTCAATCCTTGGAGAATCCAGAAAAGGAGTTAAGTCTTTTATTAAGGGAAAACAAAATTTTCATAGAAGGTCATATATAAATAGTAGTACCGATACCCCATAGATTTGTTTACAAACCCAACTATGTATTTTCAGAAATAGACTCGGTTAGGAATATATTCCCGAAAATACATAGTATAGTTAAAAATTTGTAAATATAACATATATATATATATATATATATATATATATATATATATATATTCCTCTTGATTAGGAGGATTGACTGATTAATGTATGAACCATGCAAGCTTAGAGACACTAGTATGAGAAATCAATGTTCAGATTAATAAAGCGAATATAATTAATTATGAAGGAGTAAATATTTGTTAATAAGATTATCTTTGGTATGAGGAATAAAAGTAACCTTTTATATATGCTATTAAGTTTACAAGAAAACCAAAATTATAATAGCAAATGTTTAAGCCATTGTTATTGTCAAAGAGTTAGCTCAATGATCGATTGAACATGTGTATGATTTATAATTAAGAATATTGTCACATATATATTTGTATCTTATTTTGCCTATTTGCTGAGTTTTGAAATTTAACCTCACTGTAATAAAAAAAAAAAAAAATTGGAAAAATACAAGGACATTTCATAAGAAGTAGAATATCTGCTTAGAAAGAGATATGAATATACCATTAATATCCCTTGGTTAAAATGAGTGTAGTACCTACCGACTAATATTGTTTGTTTAACCGGTCGTTCTGTTGATTAGTATTTTCTCCTCGTGGGGTGGAAAGCCCTGAAGCTGCATTTCTTGGATTGATTCCACCGAAGTAGAAGTAGGCAAAGGTCCTTTTTCTTTCATTACTTGTGGGCAATATATCACCCAAAAATCCCTTAAGTTTGGTTTACTTTTTCTTCCATTTGTTTGTACTTGGTCAAAGTTAGGTGCAACAAAACAACGTAATAAACATCACATTCCTCCTCTTCAAAAAATGAAGTTAGAAGAATTATAAAACATACAATAAAAATAAGGGTTTAATAAGAGTTATGTTGTAGGAGAAGTGATTGTGTTATGTTATAGAGATTCGTTTTGCGTGCCGGAGTTTTTTTTTTTTTTTTTTTGGTTTCAAAATTTGCGGGTCCCACAAAATGTTGTGTGTGTAGGAAAGTTGTTGTGGTCATGTTAAATGATAGATACAAAACCCTAAAAATAAAGGCTTACATTTTCATAATGTAATTTACTCTTCTTCTTTTTCTATTCTTTCTTCTTTTCATGAATTCCTTGTGAGCTTTTTTATGGACCAACTCAAAGGATGCATATTTTAATTTCAATAATAATAATAATAATAATAATTCCATTTCATTTGTCCCAGTCTTTATTATCATTTTTTTAATTCCTTGGTATATTAAATGAAGTGTTCTTGTGACAAAACAAATTCTGCTCTTTTTATTGTTGCTAACGTAGTTTGTAAGCGCTTCATACTCGTAAGGACCATTTTCATCTATTTTACTACCTGATTTTACTTGATCGGATATTATTAATTACCTGACTTTTTTCTATTCTAAAAAAAGCTAACATTAACATTCTTTAAAGAACCAAATTGATATTTTCTATATTTTTGAAGGATTGAAAGGGATGTTTGTTGTTTTTCTTCTCAACAACTAATTAATTTACTGGTCAATACTAATAGAATTTAGTTTGACTTTTATGCAGCTTTAGCAGTACTGTGCGAGAACCTTCTCAAATGTCAAAACAGGCACTCTCAACTTCCTTAATTAATCAAACCGTACAATGCCCGAAAGCTAACTGTGTTAAAGGTCTATATATATGTTCCTAGCTTCGAAAGTAAAATCTGAAACTTTCTTAAATACAATCTTCCAGAAAAGTTTATAGTTACCCAGTTTTAAAAGCCTAAGTTTGCAGTTGTTGAATTCTGATAGCTGCAGTTGAGCTGCTACGCCCAACCCTTTGAGGATTTTAAAGGTCATTTGTGTCAAAATAATAATAATAATAATAATAATAGCTAGCTATTATAGCTAGAGTAAATTCTTACCTGTTTGATACCTTTTTTTTCTTCTAAGATGGAAACAGTGTGTTACGTTGATGTTAGGAAATCGGGGCTCACTTAGCTTCTGTATGAGTCTTGTTCGAAGCCCTTGTTTTTCAGTTGTAGCGTGGGAAATTGATTGAAGTGACCCGGGTGGGTATTAGATTTTTTTACCGAAACCATTGGGGGCTTGATTCTAGATGTGAGCCAAATGAATAGGTTGTTTATAACGTTGGAGTACAAATTTGAAAAAATAATTTAGGTTCAGTACAGTTTGAAAAGTTTTTAACAATCTGGTAGACACTCTTAAGCATTATAGTAGAGCAATGTAATGAATGTCAATACCCCTAAGCAAGAAAAAGTTACCCATAAAATTCAATTTCTAATAGATTATCTTATTTGCTCAAGAGGGATACATCAAATGTTCAAATTTTTCCAGAGACAGATTGATCCTAATGTTGTATTTTTTTATTTTTAATTTGGTATATCGATACTAATTATCTCTTTGAGATGACTCGGCCTCTAGATATTCTATAAGCTTCAACTCTTTGAGCAGGCTAAAAAATTAATCCCAAATAGAGGCTTAGTTACAATTAAAGCTTATCACCCATCTCCAAAGATATATTTGATAAGAATCGAACTCAACTCTCTCCACTCTACTCAGCTTGTGTTGTCAACTGAGCTATACCCATTGAGTTCTTTTTTAATGGTTTTTTACTTACACTTACTATATTTCTTCTTACACCAATCTTATAGTTCCATTTGGATAAGTTCTTGAAAAAGGATTTTCAAGCATTGTTATTAAAAAATAACTTTTTTAAAAAAAATATTTTTGATTGAAAAAAATGTTTGGATGATAAAATCAATGAAAAGAATATGTGAAAGCAAATTATGGAAGCAAGATTTAGGGAGAGCGCTAACGGTGATGGATATTGGTGAGACCAATATTCTGCGTTGACAAAGTCTGGTGTAACTCAGAGTCAGATCAAAGCATATAGTTTGAGCTTGTATGAGTAAGCAAAAAGAGTTGCGCCTTAACTAATAATTATAGTTTTTGGCCTAGTGGTAAGTGTTCGATCCAATACTTGATATCAAAGTCTAAGTCATAGGTTTGATTTCTCACAGTGACACTCTACGAAAAGCAAATATTGAGAGATTGTTGGTGATGCCAACATATTGCCTTGACAAGGCCCAGTGTGGGTTAGAGTCAAATCGAACAACAACGCTTGAGCTGATAGGGTAAATAGAAAGAGTTGCGTCATAAATAATAACTATTTTGAGAAAAATATTGAATTATTGACTTTTACCTTTTTAAAAACCAAAAATTTTAGCTTTAAAAAAATAGGATTTTATCTTCTTTTCTTTTACTACCGCAAAATTGATATCCAAACACTTATTTATAGTGAAAATAATTTATTTATATTTTGAAAAAAAAAATTCAACGTCGGGAAGAAAAAGAGTCCATGGCTCTTATATTTATTTGTAACTAAATGAGTTGAGAAGCAAACTTCCCAACCTTATTAATCTAAGAATGGATACAGGTAACTAAAGGGCTCGTTTGGATGGACCGGTAAAAAAGGATATTTTATGTCTTACTTATTTTAGAAATGATTTTGTACAAAAATTAAAACTATTTAAATTTTTTAAAAAAAAAAATGTATTTGGTTTTTGAAAAATCCAAATGAATTTTGTAGTAGAAGTTTTTTTTTTCTTAAAAAAAGCAATTTTTGCCTAAAATAAAACCCATCCAAACGGGTCGGGAGATCAAAAGGCAAGTTACTGATCTAAGAGTTATAGATCCGGTGATAGCGTAAAATTTGACATGCCCAAGTAATAGATTCGATTTCTAAGAAATAAAAAAATATACATATATCAGGTTCTGATATTGGTGCAGTCCCCTTGGGCTATTATGTATCTGAAACCAATGTTACATATTGGAGTGCTCTGATCAGCCCCCAAATCTCAGCTTCTAATGGGGAGCAACGACCAATTGTTGAGAAATATCCTCCCATCCAATCCACCTTTGTCATTTCAAAGAAGTCCCCCACAGCAAGCTTCATTGCTACCAAGAGAACACTTGAATACGAGTTCTTACACAAGGGAAATTGATTATTTTGACACTTGAATTGGTAACACCAAATATCTTTCATAAATACTTTTTGTAACGAGGCTTAGTCTCAAATGTATCATATTTTATCCTTTTCAACACCATGAAAAAATTCCCCTACTTTCATAAGAAAAGAAGGGGATGAAAGATACGAAAATTAGAGGAGGGAAATTGTACTAGGAGATTTTGTGGTTTAACAATTGCTTCTTGGGTTAAACAGGTTTGTTAATGACTCTGACGGCCCGTTTGGTACACGGATTTTCTCCGGATTCCCGGGAAACTAAATTTTTTAAAATTTTAAATTTTCAGATATTATCGTAAACTGAATGTAAAAATCATATTTTTAAAAATCGAGATTCCCGGACAAATAAAAATTTCTTCTGTACCATTCTCTCATTTCTATTTCCCATGAAAATGAAGCACTAAGCAGTTCAGCCAACTGCTTGAGTTCCTTGTCACAATAAAACAAAACAATATATATATATATATATATATATATATATATATATATATATTGGCCTTGTCAGCAATGAGTGATCGTAGAAAATAAGTTTATCAGAGCCTAATTTTCAACGACTCCAATTAGTATAGAACAAGTTTGCCCGATTTGATTTTTCCTTTCTATCTTGAATGAATAGCCAATCAAGCGCAACTTACTGCTATAACTAAACATGAATTACTTCTAGGACAAGGGAAACTAGTTGCAACTGAAGTCTCTCATCCAGTACGGTGTGGTTCGAGGACGAACCAGGCGGAAGCTGGTGGGCATGTAACATCCCGGGCGCTGACGAGAGCGGGGAGTGATCGCCGGTGCGCAAGGGCACGGACAAGGAGCGGCTCCTGGCAGGCTTCTGGGGACGGGGGTACATGAATGAATCGAATCAACACCCGAAAGAGAGGGATTCCAGAGACTGTGCTGGTATGGGACGGTACAGTTGGGAATGGCTTATAAGAATTAATTGGTACTACCTATACTAACAAGATGCATCTACTTTTCGGTAGCCCGGATCGGAAGAACTCCACAGTTAAGCGTGCTTGACTTGGAGCAATTCAGGGATGAGTGACCTCCTGGGAAGTTTTCCCGGGAAGTGTGCGAGTGAGGACAAAGCACGCTGAAAAGTCTCGTGTTAGTGTGTGGGGACAGTCGTTGATCCTTGCAAGTTGTCAAGCGTTACAAGAGGTATCACACAACAAATTTTAGGATGATTGACAACCTCAAAAATAATAATTCTATGCCAATGTACCATCTAAAGAAACAGGGAGAGTAAAAACCGTGTCCAAACTGATAAGAGCATGGAAAATCTCAATGCTTTTATGTCATTTACGCCACGCAATGGGTATCTCAACAAGATCACAGAAATCAGTTTAATACCCAGTTGAAAAAGAAAAAAAAAAAATCCTTTAAAATGAGTAAGTAATATATTTACTCTTAATTTTTAGTATGTCAAGATTACTTGGAACTTTAAATTAATTCAAGACCATTATTCTTTCACTTGAGAGAAAAGTTCATAGAAGAATTTTGTCTCAGTTTAATACCTTTTATGATAATATTCATAATTCAATTTAATGCAATCTAACAGCGAAAATTCCTCCTCAACTTCACATAGCTCCCCTAAAGTATTAAAAGTCACTAAGAACCCATCAAGAAAAAAAGATGGGGAATAGCAGGCGATCCAGCTAGCTTGAAAACGCTGACATCAATGAGAACAAAAAAATAATTGTATGATTCTTTCCTTGTATGATGAATGATATAGAAGCTTTATCAACCAATAGCTTAGTGAACAATGAATGATAACTACAAAATCTTTAATCAACCAAAAAGCCTGTCTGAATTACTTACAAGTGCTACCTGAAATTTGAGCACTAGAAAATCAAGGGAATTGGAACGATCCTCCAATTTGGTTGTTGCTGCCAGAGGGAGGGTCTATAGCAACCCAGAGAAGGGAGATGGTGATTGCTATTAGACCTGACCATACAAACACAATAGTAGGTGTCCTACCCCTTCTACCCATAAGGCCTTTTGCAAAGGGATATAGATGAGCCAATACCCAAAAGCTGAAAAACACACCTCCAAGCAAACTGCTCCATTGACGATTATCACTGTATATGGTTCTGCTAACTGCAACTGCAATTGCTATCAAATTTACCATCATGATTGTGATTGGTGGTACCATAAGAAACGTCCACTTTATGACATATAGATCAGCAAATTCGTCATTTTCATCATCACCAGAAGACTTTGACGTCAAAGTGAATGAAATCTCAATGCCAGCCACCACCTTTAGTAGACCCTGAAGCACAGCAGCAAGATGGGCACTTGTGCCTCCAATCAACCAGAATTGCTCATTCCTCCACCATTCTTCAAGTTCAATACCAGACCACTTGATCTCCAGAGCAGCAAGAAGAACAAGGGTCAATGTGATCCCCAAGAGGTAAACTAAGAAGGTTACTTGAAGGGACTGGACAATGAACTGACCAGTTAAAAGGGAAAGTGCAGGAAGGAAGCAGTAAACAATAAGGAAGATGGATGTGAATGGATAAATTCCAACATTAAGGTAAGCAATCCTCTGCAGAAACTTCAATCTAGAGTTAGCCAAAAGAGCATTGTTACGCGAAAAGAATATTTCAACTGAGCCTGTTGCCCATCTAAGAACCTGGTGCAGTCTGTCAGTCAGATTGATTGGAGCAGTGCCGCGAAAAGCATCCCTCTTGGTCACACAATATACAGACCTCCATCCCCTATTGTGCATTCTATAACCTGTCACAACATCCTCAGTTACAGAACCATAAATCCACCCAATTCTAAGGCCCCATTCAGTCTTATCTTCATACCAGCATGAAATGACATTGATGGCTTCAGCAACAGTAGCAGCTTCAAGAAGATCCCTAGGAAGGGTTAGTGCACCAGGTGGACGTCCATTTTTTATAGATGGATGATCAGCAAGAGGCCTCCCTTGGAACTCTGCCACCCTGACTGAATCAATAAGAAGACTTGAGTTGCCAAAACTCTTAGGAATAAGAGCCGTGCTCAGTTCTTCATCCTCAGTGCCACCATTCCTAAATGACCGGTCCTCAACAGAACCAACTTCAGGGACAGAGGCAACCATTGAAGATTTCTTATTCTTGCGACCAAACCAACCAGTCTCTTCTTTGTCCCGAGGTGGATCAAAGCCATACAATGCAGTTCTTCGAAATAGGCATCCTGTTCCAACATACATTGGACCTTGAATCCCATCCAGAGCCCGCATGTTGACATCGAAGAATACAGTATTATGATTGGCATAGCGATCAGAAGGGTCTATTCCTTCAAACCTTTGAGGAAATTGAACATAGCAAATCCCGTCCCCACCGCGGTCCATCATGAAGCACATACCTTCTCTCAGAGCCTGGGAGTTAAATATGTAATGGTCACAGTCAAGATTAAGTATGAAAGGGCCATTGGACATAATGGCTGAGGCTCTAACCAGAGCGTTCATGGCCCCAGCCTTCTTGTTGTGATCATAGCCAGGTCGTTTTTCACGAGAAACATAGACAAGCATTGGAAGACGAATATCAACTTCAGTCAAATCCATGCCATTTGAATCTGATGCTGTACCAGTCAGTGGTTCATCGCTTGGGGGTTTTAACATTACCTGCAATTGAAAGAGGGCAGATGATTAGCACATTCAAATTCGCAATTCAATGTATACACAACAAAATAAAATATGAACATGCTAGACTAATTCTATTTATGAGTTTTGACCACTGAGAACCTGAAGCTTAGAAAAATACCCTAACCAGATTAAATTGAATACTAACGAATAATGAGAGCCTCATAAAGAATGATAACTACCTGTATGATACTGGCATGATCACCCCTAGAATGCTCTGTTGCAGTAGTTGTCCAAGTGCCAGGCCAGTGGGTACCATCAGCCATCCATGTGGCTTTAGGATTTTTCAAATTCTCCATTGGTTCATCATGTCCATTCTCTCTCCAAAGCTTCATAGCTTTTATCTCCTCTCTAGCATTACAGGCATCAGAACGCCGCCGAATTGAATCAGGAAGGCCATTAATCCGAACCTTGAACTCATCATACTCCCGCTTTACCCGTCTGCGATCCCTTACAAAGTCAGAGCGTACTTTGTTCTTGTAGGGATCTCTCTTCAGACTAAAATAAGATTCTGGGTTCCTGGGTTCAATGTCATGCTTCCGACAAAAAGGAACCCACAAATTGGCAAAACTCGCAGCCTCTGCCATGGCCTCAAAAGTTAGAAGTGCACCTCCATCATCAGAGACATAACATGAAAGTTTCTCAACAGGATAATCAGCAGCTAGAATGGAAAGAATAGTATTTGCAGTGACAAGTGGTGGTTCTTTTTCAGGATCTGCAGTTGACACAAACATATCTAGTCCTGGAAGATCAGACTTGCCAGTAGGATTGGAGGGATTAGGAGTTTCAAACTTCTCTTTCAAAACATCAAGATCAACAACACGATTTATGGGGAAGAGCTTTGGAAGCTGGTCAAGCACCCAAGAGAAGGCAAACCAGATTTCACAAACCACGGACATGCCCCACAGCCAGAGTGCATCATCATTGGGGTTTTGGATCCTCCACATTAGGAAGAGAGCAAGAACCACCAGCCGAATTAATATTATGAGCCTGAAAGTCAAATCAGCAATATGAAAAATCAACTTTAGATTAGTTATTCAAATACTACTACATAAAGTAGATAGAGCATATATCATACAGTGATCAATTCCCAGAGCAAGAGAAATAGACATAACAACGAAAAAAAATGGAAATGGTCAAAATTATGAATCAGAAGACAAGCACCACAAAATATCATGGAACGGGTAAGTTAATGTAATTGATTGGTTTGAAACAGAATGAAGCCTCTACTATCAATTTGTAGAAGTCAGTTTTCTGCAAATTATGAGATAAGGGATTAAATTTAGCTATTGGAGCATTGGTATCCCTTGTGCATTAACAACAAAATACATGGTAAGAAATGAAGTTCATATGCAACTGCCCCTGAATTGCTCTAGCAATTTGAAGTACTTGAGTAGGTATACATTCAACCATTTCTATATCATGAAAATTTCTCCTATTTTTCTGTCTTTGTCAATAAAAAGTTCTTTAAGAAATATACAGATACCTCAAAAAGGAGGGAACATTCATTTGCAAAGATAATTAATTCAAATTGAATTTCAGATATTAGAGACTCCAGCTTGAGTTAAAACTATCATTGATAACAAATATTGCATTGACACAGCAATAAAATAAATAAATATCCAATCCCACCAATTCATCTCCACAAGCATGTAAAGAAGCAAGGAAAAAGAAATTAAGAGGAAAAGGGCCTCATACCGATATGGACTCAGAATTGCAGAAGAAATACTTAATTTCCGGGTCAAAGGCCTCCACTGCTTTTCCTGAAATACATTGGGGTCACCACCCATCCAATCAGAACCAGAACCAGAACTGGCATCATTTTCAGAATCCTTTGGCCACATAGCATTCCCATAACCATAGCTCCCCTTGGATTCAAATAACCATTGAGCATGATCAAATTCATTATTATGGCTCCTCACCAAAGTCCCCGATTTCATCAACGACAACCTCCTCTCCATCTTGGACACCCCAGCACCAGGAGGCAAGGGCAGTGCCTGTTGGTTGATCACAGAAGCATCTTGCATCTCCGGCTCCTTGTAAGGCTCTTTGCATCCAGGGCAAATCCCCTCACCAATCCTCAAAACATCTCTGTAACAATCTCTACAAATCTTGTAACCACAGTCACAAGGGAGTATATCCAATCCTCTCTCATCAGTCACGACCTTTCCATCACAGCCAGGCACAGCACAAGATGACCCTTTTGCTCCACCAGTCATCTGGGGATGGCTGTATTCAGATTCAATCACCTTCTCCTTCAAATGGGCTCGTGTAACCTGATTAAAACCACCAGTAAACAAAGAACTTGATGCATACTGATCCTCTACCCTCCGAGAAGCAGTCCTCTCCAGAGAAATCTCCATTGGCTGGTTATCAGGGGTTGGAGGAATGTTCACTGTGTAGGTAGCAAGGCCAACACTCCCATTCTCACTTTCCTGATCAAGATCATTGCTGAGATGGGTGATATTCCGAACCAAAGATGAACTATGTTTGAAATGTGATTTAGAGCCCATAATGATGAGTTGTCACACGAAACAAGACCTATGATTTCATAATCCAAGAACACCCTCCACACTAATTAATCAGCAGGGACTTATTTAAAAGATGAAACGCTTAGAATAGTTCAAAAACGACAACAACTCAAACACAAACGAAAGAACAAAAAAACTAAATCAACCCTCTCTGAAAAACGGCCTGTGTCAGGTAGCAAGACTCAGTACATGAATTATAAATAAATGCAATCGCAAAGAAAGTTTCTTTAAAATGTCTTACCAACTCAAAGACAACCCAACAATCAGAAGATTATCCGAAAGACAGAGCAAGCGCGTGTCTGACGCCGTCAAGTGTCAACTTCTCTGTGTGTGTGCGTACACTCTCTCTAGCAAGTTGATACAGGACTGAGTCTAACCACGGATCAAGAATTTTCAATACCCACTAAACAAAAACAACCAAAAAAAAAACCAAACCCCGTTTAATAATTCCAACAGAGACCACACACATTCATACGAAAAAAATCAATGCCGGCGACCCGACAACCTTAAACAGTGCTTGAACTTCAAAGTTGCAAACACCGGCTTTTGCAAGGTGAAAAGGAAGGAACCAAAACACAACAATGTTTGAAGGTAAAGAAGACAGAGAAACAGCAAATTTGAAATGAGCGTAAACAAATAGGGGTGATTTTATTCTTTTATTACCGCGGAGAGGTTCAATCGGAAAGCATTAAGCGACATGTTGATACAATAGATTTTATTTACTTCAAGCGGCTTGTACGCGGTGAACGAGAAATGTTCGAGTGCGGGGAACTTTACGTGTTCATCCTCTACCAGCGCTATTTGACTTTTTTATTTTTTTAATATATATATATATATATGGGGAGGGATCATTTGACTCCAGAGTAAGATTTAAAAGTCTTACTCCTCATCCCAGCCATTGATTTCCGTTCATCCAACGGTTATCATTTAGTAATTTAATGCATTAATTAATTATTAATTTCAAATAAATGATAACCGTTGGATGAACGGAAATCAAGGGCTGGGATGAAGAGTAAGACTTTTAAATCTTACTCTGGAGTCAAATGATCCCTCCCCTATATATATATATATATATATATATATATATATATATATATATATATAGGGGAGAGATCTTTTGACTCTAGAGTAAGACTTACAACCCTTACTCTCCATCTTAACCGTTGATTTCCGTCCATCTAACGGTTATCTATAAGAATTATTTATTTATTTATTTCAAATAAATAATAACAATTAAATGGATGGAAAGTAAGAGTTGTAAGTCTTATTCTAGAGTCAAAAGATCTCTCCCCATATATATATATGAGGTAAGATCCTTTGACACCAGTGTCAAATTTAAAATTTGACATTTCATCTGAGAGTCGTTAGATCAAAAAAGATCAATGACTCTGATTTGTAAGCAAGTGACACCATTTATCTTTTTTGATGTAACGGCTCTAAGATGAGGTGTCAAAATTGAAATTTGACACTGGTGTCAAAGGATCCTACCTCAATATATATATATATATATATATATATATATATATATATATATATATATATAGAAAAGTATTTTTTCAGTCATTGGAGATAAAATTATCTCCAGTAAGCAAAAGTTCACCAATGACCATGTGGTTTGCTTCAGAATTACTTATGTCCCTGTGGTTTTTTTCTATCACATATGCCCATGTGGTTTGCAAAAGAGTATGTTTTTTTATCACATATGCCCTTGCAATTTTTTATTTTTTACAAAGCACAAGGGCATATGTGATAAAAAAACCACAGAAGCATAGGTGATTCTGAAGCAAACCACAGGGGCATTGGTGAACTTTTTCCAAAATTATATTAATAAAGACTAATATAATTCTACAATATATTAGAATTACAAACATAACTTAATTTTCACCACAAAATAATATCATTTTGAACTTAGCAGAAATAATTTAACTCCGTTGAAGAAATCCTATATATAAAAGTGAGAATTGAACTCAAAATTTAATACAAACTACCAAACCCCTATTTTACTTTGTTATTAAGGATAAACCATAAATTGGATAATTATCAGGCATTGTATACTAAAAATAATGCTCAGTAAATCTATTCTTATGCTTTTTACTACGATTCAGAATACAAAATAATGTTATGGATTTCAATTTGACCGTTCCTTTAACTTTGTGAAATATAATTATTATTGAATTTCTATAGCTGTGATTTATAATAATTATGCACCATTTTCAAATAAAAGAATTGAATATATGGTAATTTGGAACTGATGAAGAATTAGAGTAAAATGATTTTTATTAATAATTAAATAGGAAAATAAATATGTAAATATCACTATTTGATTTGACTGTAATTTATTTGGGTGGGGGGATTTGATGTAGCATTATAAATTCAGAGATAAATTTAATAACATAAAAATATGTGTATGTTTTATTTATATAATATTACTCTGAAATAAATGTTGCTAGCACAACAAGTGTCCATATTAATATGAAAACAAATATTTCCAAAAAAATAATTAATTTGGCTCCTAATTTTGATAAGGCTTGCTAATAAAAACTCTATGCTTGATTATTGCCATTGAAATTTTTAGACTCATTTCACATAAACTTTTTCTTCACATAAATTTTAGTCAAATATAAGTTCAAATCATTTGGAAAATTATAAGCAAAGCTCAATATCAAACTTTTCTATTGTAATTTTATAACGTTTGAATTTGATTTTTCAGTGTAATTTTTTTTAGATTATTATTTAATGAAGAGTTAGCACATCATTAAAAATTGAACTTTTAATATAATGATGATTATAAAAGTTAAACTTCTTTAAAGATTTAACTATATATTATAAATTGAAATGTAAACTTACGCCTAATAATGCATCAAAATTATATATTATTTTATAAAAAAAGAAAAAATCTTAGGAAAGGGTTATATTTAGAAATTACTTACAAAATCTTATAACCAAATTTTAACAAATTATTTCCGTCAATCTAACGGTTATAATTTATTAGAAATTAATAATTAATTAATAAATATGACTCAATAAATTATAATCGTTAGATTGATGAAAATCAACGATTAAGATTTAGTTATAATAATTTATAAACAATTTAGTTTGTAAATATAACACTCATCAAAATATTATTATAATTCAAACTTGAGATTTCTATCTAAATTAATGCTTTTCAAACTGTTTATCAAAAAAAATGCTTCACAAACTAAAATTTTAAAACTATTTTATCAGGACAACAGATTCTTTTCCTTTTTTGGAATAATATTATACCAAAAGTTTGATCAAAACATTCAAATAATTAATATGCGGCTAAATTGGCGAATACTTCTTTCTTTGTGTAATTCAGATTATACAAATTTTACTTATGTTTGGTAAAAAATATATTGAATAATGTTTTAAGAATTTACTATGGAAAGAAGTTAAATTTGCTACCTTATCGTCCTATTAAATAACAGCAAGTGAATCATTCCAGAAATACATGCACAAATAAAATAATGAAAAAAAAATTAATATAATTTTATGTCCTTTTAAATTAAATAATCGTGTTTTAATATATATTTATTACGATTTTACATTATTTATTTTTTATAATGCTCTCTCTCTTTTTCTCCTAATTTTATATAGGAAAAAATATAAAAATTCAATATATATATATACCAAAATATTATTATTTTATTTAAAATAATATAAAATCATATCGTTTAAAATAACAAATAATTTTTCTATAAAATAAAGTGAATTAGCGTTATATCCTATCTTTGTTTCGAATGGTCTGCCGCTGATGCTCTCTATCTAAGCGCTGCCGCTGATGCATCCAATTCAACCAAATGTATGGAACCTACCAAATGGCAACTTTGGATTACCTATTAGGCTATTACCCATTGTGTCATCTTCCACATGTTTTTTTTTATGTGCATTTATTAAAAAAATTAATAATAATCCTATATCTATGAATAAGAACATACACAAAAAATTCGCATTCCTCTTTAGGGGGTTTCTCGGCTACTCTTTTATTTTATTTAGCCTTACCTGAAAAAAATAAAAGGGTTTTGAATGAATCTTTTTATGAGCAATATTAAATCATGTAAAAATGCGTATAAAGTTTAAATATATTTTTTATATTAATATATAATTCATTAATTTTAAAGGAGGACACATATATAAGAATAAAAAAAATTATACTAAATTTTAATTATTAATTTTATTTGTATTTAACGACTCACATAATTAATACACATTAGAATCATTAAATATAAATAGAATTAATGCCTAAAATTATTGTAAAATATTTTATTCTTACATTGTTGTGAGTTTATAATGTCTCTATACATATAAACTTTTGTGTACTAGATAATAATACAATTACAAAAGACTTGAAGAATTATTAAACTGTGCAAGATGAATTACTTATTGAGTCAATAATTTTTTGTTTACCAAAAAAAAAAAAAATTTAAGGTAAAATAATAAATTAAGGTGTAATTAATATAAAATAATGAACAATCATAATTTTATAGATATCAAATTTGTATAAGTTCAAAATCTTGGGGTTATTATAAAGACATTTCAGGGATAAATTACATATTTATTTATTAATGAAAAGTAATAATATTATTTTTGACCGTTCACACAATTTTTTTTATTTGATAAAAAATAGAATTGAATACATAACTTAATACAAATTATTCAAATCCTTCGTGACTAAACCAAATCTAATGGCTATATAAAAGGTTTTATTTCTCGATTCCTAAAATAAAACAAATGTTATACAACATCTCACTCTCATACACGCATCTCTTTCTTTTATTGCACAGAAAATACATAATATGATTTTATCTTTATATTTTTTATTTTATTTTTGGTAGAATAATGGAGGGGCCAAGCCCCATCTTTATATTTAACTATTACGTAATTATAAGCATGGCTGCATACACACAACGAGCAAGTCGGCTAAATATTTTATTTTTATTTTTTCTCCCAATGAGGTTTGC